GCTGGGAGTGTTTTACATAGGGGGTGGTGTGTTGGTGGCTTCACTGTAAGCACACTGCTCTGGATGGAGGGTTAGGGAATGATGTGAATGTATGTACAATATATATATATATATATATATATATGTAAAGCACTGTGTAAATTGATGGCGCTATATAAGTACCTGTAATAAATACAATAAATCTACAGCTGCTGTAATTATCTGTAAAATGCAATATGGCTACCTGGAGGCATTCTGTACACAGGTGGTTTACCGAACACCCCTAGAAATGTCATTTTCTACTTGTTCGATTGGCTCACTGGTTTTCCTAGAAGTCTGCGCTCAGATACAATTCAGATTTTGGGCATCCCCTGCAAACAAAATGTCATTTTTGCTGAGATACTCCCAAAAGGAAATCATGTCCACAAGGACGTAGATCCTGCCACTTTCCTCATTGCATCCTGCAAGTGCAGCAACTGATGAATAGTTGTAAAGTCACTCCAATTTGTAACAAACTTTGTTAACATCCTTGCAATATACATCTATCACCCAGAGGGGAATGTTTTTTTTTCCTCAACAAACATGGAGTGACACTTTAACTCTTTACACCGACTCCTCATACTAGATCCCCTTATTCCTGCCAAATGGACATTGAGGGGAGGGGAGCGATCAAATTCCAAAAATGTTACACAAAACTTTTCTGCAGGTTGATCCCTCTCCCCTCTGATTATGTGACCATTTAGATCTGTGATAATCTAGTCATTACAGTAGGAGAAAGACAAGAAAATAGTTTGTTTTAAAATCTTGCGAAACATTATGGTATAGCTGTAGATTCCTTTGTACTAATTTACAGGACGATACAAGATGTTTTTCATTTACTGTCTCTGGAAATATCTCTGTTATTCAAGAAATGTCTCTGGAGGTGTCTCAAGTAATAAACAAGAATGTCCAGTAAATTCAGGTAATGTGAAGTGAAGTAACAGACCTTCTCAGCCAGCGTTCCTTCTGAGATGCTATGGGTTCCTTGACTACTATGTGCCCCGGGAAATTTTTTTAAAATGTTACAAATCTGCATTTTTAATATGTAACTATAGGCAAATTTTATTTATTTATTTTTTTAAGAGTGGAGGTGGATTAGAACACTTGTCATTTTTTTTTGCTGTCTGTGTCCTCATAAAGCCTGGTTCACACCACAAAAGTTTGCTTTTGATATGTATTTGAAATGCTTTTTGCATCTACCTTTGCATTTTACCACATTTTTAACCGCGTTTTTTTCAGTTGATTTTTTGTTAAAAGGGAAGTTTTTTTGTTGCTGGGCAGAATAAAAACGTTAGTAATCATTACATATTAATTATATTATATATTTTTGTAAAAGTCGTTAGCTTTCGAATGACACCCGCTGCAAATTTACATGCAGTCTGAGCCTTGGTTCAATTGTCACATCGAATCCCACCGCATTCCTGTGCAAATCGCATGCGATTTTGTGCGGTTCAATTCCAGCCCATCAATTTGCATGGCTCAAAACGCATCACATCCGCATGAAGAATGTTCAGGCACCTTTTTTTTCCATACTCGAATTGGATGACATGAGTGCTCATACCCAAGAGATCTGATTCAGGCAAGCACATTGCAATCTGCGACCTACTTTTGGGATATTGTTAATTTTTAATTGACACCCGCAGCAGATTGTATGAACACAGTGCAATTGCTATGCAGTGCGATGCAGGAAACAGTGACTCCTGTGCATATCCCGCTTCACATCGGTGTGAACCATGCCTGAATTGCATGGGAACGCATAGCCGGTGTGAAACGACCTTTACTCTATCCAAAATGAAAGGCAAACCCCCCCTCTCCCCAACCTCTGAAAGCAGAAGCTGTAGAATAAAATGGTAGCTGCACTTTTTTTTATGTTGCAGGATATTTGCACAAAATGTTTATCAAATCTATAGTATCAGGAAAAATGACACTAACATGAATATTAGTGCATAAGAACACAATATAATACATCAGGCCTTGAAATTTCCACTCGCCTGCTCGCATTGGCGAGTGGAAATTATGGTGGGGGTGAGTGTGCCCCCAGGGCCGTCTTGCTGAGCAGACTCGGAACTCGGGGTCAGATCTGACACTCGCACTGGGAGCCATCAGACTGCTCAATAGCTGAGCAAAGTGAAAGCAAAGGAAGGAGTGTATGCTGTGCTCTCTGCCTCCCCCTAGAGTGCAGTACCCGGCTCTGCGACTGAACGTTTTATAGGGGTGTGTGTGTGTATTTGTATGTACATGTATCTGTGTATGCATGTATGTACATATGTGTATTTGTACATGTATGTACATATGTGTATTTGTACATGTATGTGTACATGTATACATGTGTCTCTGTGCACATGTTTCTGTGTGTATATGTACATGCCTGTGTGTGTACAGGTGTCTGTGTGTAAACATACATGTATGGGTGCATTGGTCAGGTTCAGGATGATGTGGTTATTATGGGTTTTGGAGTATGGGGCATTTTGGGGTAATGCTGGGTTGGATAGAACATAGGATATTCTTGGTAGAGTTATGGTTTTGTGAGTGAAAGATTATGGGGGGTTATGGTTGTATGCGGTGGTGCATGGTCTAAGTATGATGATAATTTACGAGGGCGTGTTTAGGGGTGTAGCAGGGTAGGGGTTAGGTGGGGCAACTATTGGCAAGTAACTCTTAAAGCCTGGCTAGTAGCTCAGGACTTGAAATTTTAAGCCCTCATTTATTTATTTCAGGTACATATATAGCGCCGTCAATTTGCGCAGCGCTTTACATATATATTGTACATTCACATCAGTCCCTAACCCTCAAGGGGCGCACAATGTAAAGTCCCTAACTCACATTCATACATACACATACTAGGGACAATTTAGACAGGAGCCAATTAACTTACCAGCATGTCTTTGGAGTGTGGGAGGAAACCAGAGGAAACCCACACAAGCACAGGGAGAACATGCAAACTCCAGGCAGGTGGTGCCATGGTTGGGATTCGAACCAACGACCATAGTACTGCCAGGCAGAAGTGCTAACCATTTAGCCACTGTGCTGCCCATATATAAAGTATATAAAATATGGGGTTGTATCAAATAAATCGATACCAAACATGTAAAGCCCTAAAATTATGTTGACTATGAAATGCCAATAAATGATGGTACTGTGCTTATAAAGTCCATGGACTGCGGTCTAAGTTTTCTTTTCTTTATTTATTCTGCTCCTAATTCTAGTTGAGGGCTGACAACACAGCCATTTTTCTGGACTGACATCACAGTACTCTGTGTGTGTACAGTCCCATATGATCTATCAGTAATCCTGTCTCATGTGCTGCATGGACAACAGGAGGGAGATCCCAGAGAACACAACACAGCTCACCTCCTCCTGGCTCTTTCCTCTCCACTTTTTCTAGGAAGTGTAATGGGGATTTTTTTTTTTTTGGGGGGGGGGGGGGGGGGGGGGGGGGGTGGGGGTATTTGCTAGGAAGAATGGGGGGGAATATGTACGAGAAAGAGAGAGAGAGAGAAAAGAGAGAGCGAGAGAATCATATATACACACACTCACTGAACTCTCTCACTCTCTCATTGAGAGAGAGAAAGAAATAAAGAAAGAAAGAGAGGGAGAGAGATAGAAAGAGAGAGAGAGAGGAAGACAGAGAGAGGGAAAGAGATAAAGAGAGAGAGAGAAAGGGAGGGGGAGAGAGAGGGGGGGGGGTGACAGAGAGAGGGAAAGAGATAAAGAGATAGAAAGAAAGGGGGGGGGGGGAGAAAGGGAGGGAGAGAGAGAGAGAAAGGGAGGAGGGAGAGAGAGAGAGAGAAAGGGGGAGGGGGAAAGAGAAAGGGGACGGCAGAGAGAGGGACAGAGATAAAGAGAGAGAAAGAAAGGGGGGAGAGAGAAAGGGAAGGGGAAAGAGAAAGGGAGGGGGAGAGAGAGAAAGGGAGGGGAGAGAGAGAGAAAGGGAGGGGGGAGAGCGAGAGGGAGGGGGGAGAGAAAGGGAAGGGAGAGAGAGAGAGAGAAAGGGAGGGGCGAGAGAAAGGGGGGGAAGACAGAGAGAGGGAAAGAGATAAAGAGAGAGAGAAAGGGAGGGGAGAGAGAGAAAGGGAGGAGAGAGAGGGGGAGAAAGGGAGGGGAGAGAGAGAAAGGGAGGGGGAGAGAGAGAGAGAGGAGAGAGAGAGAGAGGGGGGGGAGAGAGAGGGAGGGGAGAGAGAAAGGGAGGGGGAGAGAGAAAGGGAGGGGAGAGAGAGAGAAAGGGAGAGGAGAGAGAGAGAAAGGGAGAGAGATAGGGAGGGGGGTTAAAGGGGGGAGAGAGAAAGGGAGAGAGAGAGAGAGAGAGAGAGCATCATACTGTATATACACACACACTCACTGAACTCTCTTACTCTCTCGCCGGGGTTGTGCCTAATTTTTTTGTCCCCTAGGGCAGCACAAAACCTAAGTACACCGCTGCTGCTAGCATTAATAAATAAAAAGGCATATGAAATATATTTAATTTGAGCTTTTTTACATTTCTTCCATTGTTTCCTAGTTCCCAGGCCTAGGCAAAATGATGTAATACATCCCAGGAGTCTTCATGGCAGGAGGGGCTTTCTCAGCTAAGCACCCCCTCCTGTCTGCATGCCTGGGATAAGGGCAGATGGATGTCAGGAAGCAAATGCTACATGATTCATTTGCCTGTCATTACTCAAGATGGCTACAGCTGGAAAAGCTAAGGGGTCATTTTCTCAAAGTGGGTTCTCAACAAAATAAAGTATGACGACATGGATAGATGGATGTTTTTTGCTTTGAATATTAAAAATGAATTAAACAGTGTTTTCAGTTTGCGGTGCTCAGTTACAGTGTAGTTCCACTTTAATTGATATATTCCTGTCGGAATGTATTGGTGTAGAATAATATTATTTCTATAATAACATTTTTCATTATTTTTATAGTAATTTTTTATTTTATATCATTCCATTTCAGATGCCAGTGACATTTGCCACCTACCCAAGGATGCTGGTCCATGTGAAATTATGGTTTTACGATACTACTACAACAGCAAAGAGAACAGATGTGTGATTTTCCTCTATGGGGGCTGCAATGGAAATGACAATAACTTCTATAGCAAACAGGCCTGTGAGAGCGCCTGCCAGGAGGCAAAGAATATCAAACCTAAGTAAGTCTATTTTGTAATTAGTGCGTACAACTGGCTTGTCCAACTGGTTCCTCTCCAGGGGACACTTTGTGGATGTGTGTCATTGAACAGGCATCAAAGTCTTTTCTGGGTCAGTGACTCCTAAGTGCTTTTTATGATCCCCTTTAGGGCTCCTGCACACATATTTAACATCGAGATCTTATACATCGGAACGCAGCAGTATTATATGCTATCGGCCCCATTGGTCCATAGCTTTTAGCTACATAATCAAAAATACCAAAAACTGTGTTCATGGTCATGCGTTTGGCTGTATTTTTATACTACATTATAAACATGTACATGTGTCCAGCATACAGCTTACATTGACCCTATTGGCTGCTACTCAGGGTTGACATGTATTGGGACCCTACTGGCCCTGAGCAGCCAGTAGGGTCCATTGGTGCTGTACACAAGTACAATTTACCAAAAATACTAATTGCGTACAGCGTATGGACAACTTTTTACACCAACAAGATCCTATGTAAAAACTATATGCCTGTGTGCATGAGCCCAGGGAATATGTGGGCTCCTCTGCTTTGGAAATAGTGTTGAATAGGCTAATGTTGTAAGTGGCATCGCCATCTTGATGGTGGTGTTAGTAGCTCCACCAGACTCCGCCATCTTGATTGTGGTGGTAGTAGCTCCACCAGACTCCGCCATCTTGATTGTGGTGGTAGTAGCTCCACCAGACTCAAAGCTGACACTCAATTGATACTCTATAGCAGTGGTCTCCAAACTATGGCCCATGGGACACTATTCCTCCCACTAATACAAGGCACCATTCCTTCTACTTGTATTAATGATGAGGAACCATTACTTCCACTAATGCTAATGATGGGGCACTATTGCTCTAACTGAAACCAACAATGGGGCACTATTCCTTCTAGAGACACCAACAATGAGGCACTATTCCTTCCACTGACACCATGATGGGGTATTATTACTCCAACTGAAACCAACAACAGGGCACTATTCTCCAACTGAAACCAACAACAGGGCACTATTCCTCCAACTGAAACCAACAATGGGGCACTATTCCTCCTACTGACACCAACAATGAGGCAACATTCCTTCCACTGACACCATGATGGGGTACTATTACTCCAACTGAAACCAACAACGGGGCACTATTCCTCCAACTGACACCAGCAGTGGGGCACCATTCCTCCTACTGACACCATCAATGAGGTACCATTCCTTCCACTGACACCAATGATGGGGGTACTATTATTCCAACTGAAACCAATGATGGGGCACTATTCATTCTACTGATATCATCAATGAGGCACCATTCATTCAACTGAAACCAATGATAGGGCAATATTCCTCCTGCACTGTGAAATCACACAATCCAACCGAGAAATGGGGCACTATTCCTCCTACTGACACCAACAATGAGGCAACATTCCTTCCACTGACACCAATGATGGGGTACTATTACTCCAACTGAAACAAATGATGGGGCACTATTCCTCCAACTGATACCAGCAATGGGGCACCAGTCCTCCTACTGACACCAACAATGAGGCACCAGTCCTCCTACTGACACCAACAATGAGGCACCATTCCTTCCACGGACACCAGTGATGGGGTACTCTTATTCCAGCTGAAACCAATGACGGGGCACTATTCATTCTACTGACACCATCAATGAGGCACCATTCATTCCACTGAAACCAATGATGGGGCACTATTCTTCCTGCACTGTGAAGTCACACAATCCAACCATCAAACGGGGCACTATTCCTCCTGCTGACACCAACAATGAGGCACCATTTCTTCCACTGACACCAATCATGGGGTACTATTACTCCAACTGAAACCAATGATGGGGCACTATTCATTATACTGACACCATCAATGAGGCACCATTCATTTTACTGAAACCAATGATGGGGCACTATTCCTCCTGCACTGCACTGTGAAATCCACATAACAAAGTTTTGTTTGGTGATATTATCTTGAAAAAAAGACTATCATTTTTTGTGCAATCCATAAACAAAAAATGTAAACCTAAAAATGTACTTTTTTTTTGTTTGCTTAATTTTTTTTTTAAGCGTGTTTCTATTCTCAATTTTTTTTTTTGTTTGCTTTATTTACAAATAAAATGAATGAGCAAAATAATTATAAACAAAAAAGCTGAAATGGTTGAAAAAAATGAGTTGAGCAAAAAAATATAAAAAAAAATGAAATGGTTAGAAAAATTTAAATGAAAAAAAGCTGAAATGGTTGAAAAAATTAATGAAAAATAAATATAAAAAAAAAGCTGAAATGGTTAGAAACATTTAAATTATAAAAAAGCAAATAAATAATATCTAAGGGAGAAAGGGAAGAAGGAGTTTACCACTTAATGTCTATAAGGCTGTCTGATGAAAACAAGCTCACTATTAAAGGATAAGTTCACGTGACACAAAAAATAATAAATGCACATTATTTTGCAGGAAAAAAAATGTGCATTTATTTTTTTTTTGTGTTAGGGGTCTCTAAAGCATTGCACCAGTGATCAGTAGATCGTTGACGCCATGTAGGTCGATGTATCTGCTGGCTCCTACATCCCGTACAGCAATAGGGATAGGAAATATCAATTAACTACAACGGCGCTCCACAGTGCTGTCGTAGTTCATTGAGGACTACAAGCTGACAGCCGCTAAGGCTGTCGGAACCTGCAGTCCATTCATTCACAGGAGGACTGTGCAGGAATGACGCAGCCGCGGGGCTCCACTGTCTTTGAAAAGTGACATACTTTCTATACATAATGGTAAAAGAGCCATCTAGTGTCAGGCAAGCCAACTGCATCTGCCAACACTGGCATGTGTACTTACTCCACCACCACTCTGGTTCTTACACCCAGTTTGCACTTCACTCCAAAACCAAAGCATGTGTTGGGTTTTTCTGGGGTGTAAACAGGGGCGGACTGAAAACTCATGGGGCCCCTGGGCAATAGGGTATCATGGGGCCCTGTGTCCTTACCCAAACTCAAAAAACCCTGTGAAAAGGGTACCAGGGGCATCTCATGGGGCCCCCTACTGACCCCGGGCCCTCGGGCAGTGCCCGAGTTTCCAAATGGTCAGTCCGCCCCTGCTCTGGTGGGAAACCAGATTAGCTGCCGCCCTGGACTGTCTTATTGTCTTAAAGTGACAGGCACTAATACACTTAAAGCTGACCCGCAGCCTTACCTTCAGACTTGCTCAGTTGTACCGGCTCCTCTCCTATATTAAATTGTCTTACTCTGATTTCGCTGCACGATCTGAACTTCTAACAGTGTGCATTAGAACCTGCAGAAAGTCACGTTCATTTTAATGGGTTGCTGTATGTGCGGAAAAAAATTCAAAAAGAGCTGCTGGCACAATTTATAAAATCGTGACGCATCAAAATGCATAGTACTGCCGGTTTAAGGCTGGCCATACATTATACAATTTTCTTGAGATTTTTGGTTTAGATTTACCAAAAACCATATAATAGGAGGTCAAACCTAACAACACTTTCAATTGTATCCAATTAGGCAGGATCTTGCACTAATAATAATTAACCCATAACCTTAACCACTAAAACATAAAAAAGGTAATAAAATAATTGTTTATTATTATTGTATTTTTTTGCTCAGTTGTTTATTAATAATAATAATACATTTCTTTTTGTTAGGTTAGGGGTTAATTATTATTTATGATTTATTTATCATGATTTTTTTAATTTACAGGTGAAACTCGTAAAATTAGTATATTGTGCAAAAGTTCATTTATTTCAGTAATGCAACTTAAAAGATGAAACTAATATATGAGATAGACTCATTACATGCAAAGCAAAATAGTTCAAGCCGTGATTTGTCATCATTGGGATGATTATGGCTTACAGCTCATGAAAACCCCAAATCCACAATCTCAGAAAATGAGAATATTACATGCAATCAATAAAACAAGGATTGTACATAGAACAATATGGGATCTCTGAAAAGTAGAAGCATGCATATGTACTCAGTACTTGGTTTGGGCCCCTTTTGCAGCAATTACTGCCTCAATGGGGCGTGGCATGGAAGCTATCAGCCTGTGGCACTGCTGAGGTGTTATGGAAGACCAGGATGCTTCAATAGCGGCCTTCAGCTCTTCTGCATTGTTCAGTCTCATGTCTCTCATCTTTCTCTTGGCAATGCCCCATAGATTCTCTAAGGGGTTCAGGTCAAGTGAGTTTGCTGGCCAATCAAGCACAGTAATCCCACGGTCATTGAACCAGGTTTTGGTGCTTTTGGCAGTGTGGGCAGGTGCCAAGTCCTGCAGGAAAATGAAGTCAGCATCCCCATAAAGCTGGTCTGTGGAAGGAAGCATGAAGTGCTCCAAAATCTCCTGGTAGACGGCTGCATTGACCCTGGACTTAATGAAGCACAGTGGACCAACACCAGCAGATGACATGGCTCCCCAAATCAACACAGACTGTGGAAACTTCACACTGGACTTCAAGCATCTTGCAGTGTGTGCCTCTCCATTCTTCCTCCATACTCGGGTCCTTGGTTTCCAAATGAGATGCAAAAGTTACTCTAATCAGAAAAGAGGACTTTGGACCACTGAGCAACAGACCAGGTCTGTTTTACTTTAGCCCAGGTAAGACGCTTCTGACATTGTTTGTTGTTCAGGAGGAATACGACATTTGAAGCCCATGTCCAGGATCCGTCTGTGTGTGGTGGCTCTTGATGCACTGACTCCAGCCTCAGTCCACTCCTTGTGAAAGTCCCCAACACTTTTGAATGGCCTTTCCTGACAATCCTCTCCAGGCTTCGGTCATCCCTGCTGCTTGTGCACCTTTTTCTTACACACTTTTCCCTTCCACATAACTGTCTATTAATGTGCTTTGATACAGCACTTTGGGAACATCCAACTTCTTTTGCAATTACCTTTTGAGGCTTTCCCTCCTTATGGAGGGTGTCAATGATGGTTTTCTGCACAACTGTCAGGTCAGCAGTCTTTCCCATGATTGTGATTCCTACTGAACCAGACTGAGAGACCATTTAAAGGCTTAGGAACCCTTTGCAGGTGTTATGGCTTAATTAGCTGATTAGAATGGGACACTTTGAGCCGAGAATATTTCACCTTTTCACAATATTCTAATTTTCTGAGATTGTGGATTTGGGGTTTTCATGAGCTGTAAGCCATAATCATCACAATTATGACAAATCACGGCTTGAACTATCTGGCTTTGCATGTAATGAGTCTATCTCATATATTAGTTTCACCTTTTAAGTTGCATTACTGAAATAAATGAACTTTTGCACCATATTCTAATTTTTCAAGTTTCACCTGTATATGTGTATTTATTTGATTTATTTTACATTTATTCATATATTACTTTTTTTTTACATTTTTTGATTTGAGCAGAAAATCGCACAAAACACTCAAAAAAGTGTCAATTGTGCATTTTTATTCTTTTGTATGGGAATAAAAACACGCCAAAAACGTGCTAATCTGCTTAATTTGAGCTACAAAAATAGCTCCAAAACTTTTTGAGCTTCAGGCATTTTGCTTCAGGTGACTTGGAGTGGAGATGTGAAACATCTCCATAGAGTAATATTGATTTTTTTTTTCCCCCTGAGCATTTTGGAACTTTGAGCTTCATGCTACAAAACGCTCAGGTGTGAATAGGGCCTAAGTGCTCATGTAGATGTGCAAAGAAATTTGAACAATCATTACCACATATAATGCATTAAGATGTGTTTTGGATTTTATTTATGACGCGTTTTTAAGGCATTTATGTTGTAATGCTTTCCAGATGCCTCCTCTGGATTTTCTATTGTATGAATTTTTCTACTATCATCACGACTAGTAACATTTTTAAAAAACGTTATGCATCTGTAAACACCATATGGGCATTTGTGAGGAATTTGTGATGCGTTTACTGCACGTGTTCATTGAAATCAATGGAAGTCTTTGGGGAGCAGTAAACTGGGGGGAATTTGGGGGTGGGCAGGGGGTAAGATTTGTTCTAGGGGGGCAAATTTGGCGAGGTGTGCTAGGAGTGGTGATTTGGGAGGATTTGTGTTGGGAGAGGGGATGGGGGAAAGAGGATTTGTGCTAGCAGGAGGGATTTGGGGGGTTTGTGCTATAAAAGTTATATGGTAGAAGGTAAATATTTTTTGGGAGAGATTCGTGCCAGTAGAGATGATTGGGGGGTATTTGTGCTAGAAGGGGAAATTTGTGGGGGGGATTTGTGATTGGATGGGGGTTGGGGAGGGGAATTTGTGGAGGAAGGATAGAATTTGGAGTGGGGGGAGAGGATATGTGCTTAGAGGGGAAATTTGATGGGTAGAGGATTTGAGGGAGAATTTTTTTTGTGGGGGTTTGTGCTGGGGGCATATGGGGAGAAAGAGCATTTTTTCTTGCAGGGGGGATTTCAGCAGGGGGTGGATTTGTACTAGGACAAAAGGGACTTTATGCTTAGGCAGTAAGCATACCAATTAGTGCTCGATTTTTTTTTTTTTTTTCGGGGGGGGGATTTTTGCTGACATGTAATTTATCATACATCCTGGGGGGAGGCGGAATTCTGCATGTTTGCCCTGGGCTCTAGATGACCTTGTCCCTGCACTGATTGCGATTATCTACTCATAACTGGACTGAGTGCGGTGGGCAATCAGACATTAACTGATGCTGGGGGAAACTGACTGACACACTGACATCAACAAAGACATTAATAAAGTGATCAGTAATAATACTATACATTGTCACATTACTAATGACAATGGCTGGGAAGGGGTTAACATCTAGGGCGATCGAGGGGATAATGTGTGCCTAACAATTTGTAATGTGTGTATTACGTGATGCTTTTGCTTTGCAGGGATGGGAAGCAGTGAGATAGATCCTCCTGTACAAAGCCTGTATTGAAGGTCAACACAGAGCTCTGGGCTGTGATTGGGACACAGCTGATGAGCAGGGTCCTGAACAATCACAGCGGATGTCGGTGGGGGGGTTTGGTGCGCATGCATGGGCCCTAAACCTAGAAGCAAGCAGCACCATACCAATACCTCGCTTTGCCTGCACGGGACGCCATCCTCAGTACACTGCAGTTGGGCGTTCCACGAGTGGTTAATTTAGAAATATTTTATTGGTTTGTGCAATTACACTTCTTGTAATGGTTTGCCATATGTATATTTTTAGACCATACATTGATATACTTTAGCAGATTTATGTCAAATTGTATCAAAATAATGTGATATTGCACTACATTTGCACCTGCTGTCCTCTTATATATTTTCCATTCCTCCAATTCTCAATTTCCTAATGAATTCTTTTACCATGTAGGGTGATTGCTAGATCCGAGTTACCAGCAACAGACCAAGGGAACAGTGAGTATACTTCAAACACTAAAAATAATTTAAAGGATGAGTTAGGGGTGTATGCTATTTTTTTTTGCATGTACAAGTTGAATTTACGGGTTAGATTTGTGGGGGTATTTTGTGTGTCAACTCTTCTGATAGTGTCTTCTATCTCTCAGTGAGATATCTGTGCTGAATTCCTGTGCCTACAGTAGAGAGCAGTGAATCTGCCTTGGTTCATGGATAGCTTTGCAAATTTTGCTCAAAGTTTGAAAACTTTGTTGGGAACACCATTGAAGTCTAAGGTGGGCCTGTAGGCAGGTGCAGTTAGCTACTTTGCCACGAGGTGACTCTGTACCAAAATAGTGTCTGGTACAGCAGGTAGTGACACTAGGTGTTAGGCCATAGATGGATCAAAACTTGGCCAGTTCCTGCTGAACATTTGGATCCGTCTGTGGCTGGCCTTACTGTACATTATGGAGAGGTAGAGAGGTTATGCTCTGAGAAAAAGTGTTGGTTATGCCATTGACTTGCACAGGGGTCCAAAGGAAGCCAAAAGGTGTCCAAAGGTATCCAAAGGAAGCCAAAGGTGTCTAAAGGCATCCAAATGAAGCCAAAGGGATCCAAAGGGATCCAAAGAAGGCCAAAGGTGTCCAAAGGGATCCAAAGGAATCCAAATGTGTCTAAAGGGATCCAAGGAAGCCAAAGGTGTCCAAAGGAAGCCAAAGGTGTCCAAAGGGATCCAATGGTGTCCAAAGGAAGCCAAAGGTGTCCAAAGGGATCCAAAGGAAGCCAAAGGTGTCCAAAGGGATCCCAAGAAAGCCAAAGATGTCCAAAGGGAAGCCAAAGGTGTCCGAAGGTATCCAAAGGAAGCCAAAGGTGTCCAAAGGGATCCAAAGAAGGCCAAAGGTGTCCAAAGGGATCCAAAGGAAGCCAAATGTGTCTAAAGGGATCCCAAGGAAGCCAAAGGTGTCCAAAGGAAGCCAAAGGTGTCCAAAGGGATCCAAAGGAGTCCAAAGGAAGCAAAAGGATCCAAAGGAAGCCAAAGGTGTCCAAAGGGATCCAAGAAAGCCAAAGATGTCCAAAGGGATCCCAAGGAAGCCAAAGGTGTCCAAAGGAAGCCAAAAGGTGTCCAACAGGATCCAAAGGAAGTCAAAAACAAGGGGATTTAAAAAAAGCCAAAGGGGCCCAAATTGATCTAAAGGAGTCCAAAGTGTCAACTCACTGCATTTAACTTTTTGGGAATGGTCATCATCTTTGTTCAGCAAATCAATTCTCTCTCATCACTAATGAAGACAATATCATGCCCTGTTGTGCACACAGTAGTTTCTGGACTTTTCTAATATTTTTTTTTTTTAGCCCGGAATAATGCATTACATTTTCTGTCTAATCCAATTGCAAACATCACAATTAATAACACAATATACTAAGGAACAGGGAAGGAGACTCAACAAAGTAGTCTCAACTTGCTCAACCTTTTTTACCGGTACCCGCATCCCCTATTATAAGACAATGAAGCATAGTCCAATCCCTAACAAAAAAAGAACCTAATAGGACTTCAGACGTACCACAACAATCATATAAATACTTGCATTTTTATTATACAAATTATTAAAAAAAACATTTATAGTGCAAACACACACTGAGGTACTGTTCAAAACAATACCAATCACATCATATGCCAGGTGTTGACAGTCATATCCTGAAACTGAACATAGGGAAAATCTCACAGGATCATCTGCATTGCATTTTTCACAGGGCAAGGCCCACTTCCTCAGGGAGATCTGGCATATATCTCTGAAGTTACAATCAAAACCAACATGAGTATCAGTATAAAATTACAGATACAAGGATACAAGTATTAGAGTACATATCTGCATGCATATACATATGTTACCTGCTATAAAAAGCTCACGTGACTTGCTTTTATCCTCAGACTTAAAGAGCCGCCATCAATTAATTACAATCTGTGATTCCACTATAGATGCAGCTGTTACCTGCCAACTACCTGTGGATGCTGGGTTATGCGATAATAATGTCTTGCGCTACTACTACGACAGCACTGAAAATAAGTGCCTCATCTTTCAATATCATGGCTGCTTTGGAAATGCCAATAATTTCATTAATAAACTGGAATGTGAGAAGAAAAATGTCTAATACCAGAGACACCAGACCTTTCTGATTATGGGTAAGTATGGACAGCAATGATAGGGATTTCATAGAATGTAGAAACTGCATGCCAAGATGGTAGAGAAGAGGAAACTGGATCAGATTTTTGCAGATATACAGTATATATATTTTTTTACAACACAGATTGGCATATTAAAGGGAACCCATCACCGTGGCAATCTGGCATTCAATACTCTAGCTCTTTTACCCCGATTCTGGCTAGTGAACTGTTGACTTGGAACAAGTATGAGGACAGTGAAGTGTTCAGACTCCTGATCTGCATGACTCAAAGCAGTAGTTTTTTGCTTAATGAAGTCAAGGAAAGGATGACCACTTGGAACATGTTCCTTTATAGCAGGGGTCTTCAAACTTCCTAAACAAAGGGACAGTTTATTGTCCTCAAGACTTTAAGGGGGCTGGACTGTGGCCAGTGGGAGTAGAAATTGCCATTCGGAATAAATAATGCCCTATCTTTGGTTTTAGTGACAGGGATAGTGCAAACTGTGTTAGTATCTGTGGGAGTAATGGAGCCCCATTGTTGGATTCAAGGGAGGAATAGAGTGCCCTATCATTGGCATTAGTGGGAGTAAAGGTGCCCCATCATTGGTGTCAGTGGGAGGAATGGTGCCCCATTATTGATGTTAGTGAGGAATAGTGATTCATCAGTGGTGTCAGTGGGAGGAATAGTGCCCCATCATTGGTATCAGTGGGAGGAATAGTGCCCCATCATTGGTATTAGTAGGAGGAATAGTGCTTCATCATTGGTGTCAGTGGGAGGAATAGTGCCCCATCATTGGTATCAGTGGGAGGAATAGTGCCCCATCATTGGTATCAGTGGGAGGAATGGTGCCCCATCATTGGTGCTAGTGAGGTGGACAGTGCTACATCAGTGGTGTTAGTGGGAGGAATAGTGCCCCATTGTTGGCATTAGCAGAGGAGTAGTGCCCCATCATTGGTATCAGTGGAAGGAATAGTGCCCCATCATTGGTGTCAGTGGGATGAATAGTGCCCCATCATTGGTATCAGTGGAAGGAATAGTGCCCCATCATTGGTGTCAGTGGGAAGGAATAGTGCCCCATCATTGGTATCAGTGGAAGGAATAGTGCCCCATCATTGGGGTCAGTGAAAGGAATGGTACCCCCTCACTGGTGTCAATGAAAGGAATAGTGCCCCATCGTTGGTTTCAGTGGGAGGAATGGTGCCCCATCATTGGTGTCAGTCGATGGAATTGTTCCTGAACGGCAGATAAAGACAATATAAGGGCCACATCTGGTCCGTAGGCCCCAGTTTGAAGACTACTGCTTTTTACAGCAAGTCATCAATAACCTAACTATAAGCCATTTTGTTCACCAGAAACAGGGTCATGGACAATGGTTATCATTTCTTTGACCCAGCCTGACCTCAATATGTGAAGATGTGCAAGCTCCATCTCTTTTATGCCCCAGTACTACCTATGCTGGAGCAACGGTGCATGTGCACTTTTGCGCAAATCTGTGTGTTACATTTAGGGCAGCCCATTCATTTCAACACATGACAATTGAACAAAAAAGCACATGGCAAGTGCATTAGACAGATGTACTGAGGTGCCTTAAGAAATAAATGGCAATGCTGTGCACCTGCAAAAGGGTGATATTTCAGGGGTCACAACTGCGACCCAGCCCCATGCTCCATGGTGAACGTGCACCTCCCCTGTACAACTGGATAGGAGGGGTAGTAGGGGTGGTATATAGAGTAATTGATTCCCTCAATCTTCCTGCAGCTTTGCATATGCTACTCCTAACCGACTCTCCTATCCAGGTCCTGCTGCCCCTAGGAACCTGTGTGCTCCATGGGTCCCCTCATCCCCTGCAGCTTGCTTCCCCCCTCCTTTTTCTCACCAGCTGCTGCAGGGAATGCTGTCAGGATGGAGAGTGGGGAAGGGACTATTGTGATAAATGGCCTTTTGTGAATGGAGAGCGTGAGTGATTAGTACCGATCACTGACTCTGTCCATTAATTACTGAAGCATAATAAACTGCGTTTACTATGCTTCAGTTTATGAATGAACAGGAATCTGTATAGAGCTGTCTCTTTCCTTTTATTCTGTGATGTTGTGGCTGCAGAGTTGGAAATTGAGGACTGTGTCCTAAATCTCCTTTCCCTGTCTCAAAGGTGGAACATTAGTGGGTCTGTTTAGACCCCTGATATCTCACCAAAACCCGCCAATGGAGCTCCAAAAAATTTTTAAAAAATAATTAAAAAATAAAATTGTAAAAATGTAATAAATTAAATAAAAAGTGTAAAAAAAACAATAAAAAAATAAAATAACAAAAATAATAAAAACAACTGACCCCAGTGCCAGAAATACCAGTGTTGCAAAGGTTGCATTTGCGACTGGGCCTTGGTGTTTCGCCACCGTGGAGGGCCCCAAGACAGCAGGAAGGGGGCCCATTGCAGAACATGTGAAAGGGTCCCACTGCGGGACTATAATAAAGGGCCCCACTTCAGGAGTAAAGGGCTCTGGGATCAGTGGGAAGAGCCCTGGGCCTGGAGGGAAAGGCCCTATATGGGGGTCAGGGGGGCCCTTCACAGCTTCTTGCACTGGGCCCTGAAGGTTCTAGTTGCACCTCTGCACACTCTGTTTTTGTGTTGTAGGAAAAACGTGATTTTGCATACATTCTCGCAACACACAAATGTGAACCTAATTCCAGTAAAGGGGGGAAAGGTCCTCTTTTTTGGTGGGACTTTAACGGCACAATTTCCTTGTATGATAAATTTCAACAATTCAAAAGAGATTTTTTTGTAAAAACAGTATGAAATTTTATTTTTACAATCTTCAAAAAGAAATAAAGCTACAATACATATTGCGGCGGTGTCATCAGAGATGTAATTGCAAATCTAATCATGGATCATGCATGGTTCGCACTTGACGCGTTTCGAGATAAACAAGAATCTCTTCTTTAGAAGTGCTCAAGAAGGCATGATGTCTATAACAAACATATAGTTAGGGATCCGGGTATGACCAAAAGTGTGGACTGACCCAGGGATTAGTGGCAGGCTTTGCAGGAATTGGGCGTAAAATGTCTCTGAGAGGTCAATAAGTCAGGCAGGCAATTAGGTATTGTCAGGCACAGTCCCGCTGAATCTTTAGTACCCACAGAACGGGATTTGCCCATGGCGTTTCTAAGCCACAGTCATGCCATTCACCAGTGCCCCTGATGGTGGGGTATGGACTTGGGGCAGGACTGGTTGACCCTCGCGGCCCCAATGCACCAACCAACTGTGGTGAGGGGCCACCGATCAGACCGTGCACAACGATCTGGAGTCATTTTGGACCACTCCTCTTCACAAAACTGTTTCAGTGTAGCAGTATTCTTGGATGTCTGGTGTGAATCGCTCTCTTAAGGTCATGCCACAGCATTTCAATCGGGTTGAGTCAGGACTCTGACTGGGCCACTCCAGAAGGCGTATTCTGTGCTGTTGCAGCCATTGGGTTGTAACTGACTTGTATGCTTTGGGTACATTGGATCAGGCTGAAGGATGCATCACCCATCCTCAAGCGGAGAAGTCAGTTGGCGGACAGGCATGGTCGGCAACAAATGCAAAATGTCCTTGAACAAACTCTGGATACATTTTCCCATCAATGGGACAACAATCTGTCCAGGCATTGAGGCAGCAAAGCAGGTCCCAAACCATGATGCTCCTCCGCAATGTTTCACAGTGGGGATGAGGAGTGAGTTGGTGTGCTGTGCCTTTTTTTCACCCACATGTGTCAGTGTGTTCTGCAGCCAACACAATCTTGGTTTCATCTGCCCACAGTATATTTTGCCAGTATGCTGTGGAACATCCAGGTGCTCTTTTGCAAACTTCAAACGTGCTGCAATATTCTTTTTGGACAGCAATGGCTTCCTCCGTGGTGTCCTCCCATGTACTCCATTCTTGCAATGTTTTCCTTATTGTAGATGTGTCAACAAAAATGTTAGCATCTGCCAGAGATTTATGAGGTCTTTAGCTGACACTCTGGGATTCTTCTTTACCTCATGCAGCATTCTGCGCTGTGCTCTTGCAGTCATTTTTACAGGACAACCACGCCTAGGGAGAGTAGCAACAGTGCTAAACATTCTCCATTTGTAGACAAATCTGTCTTACCGTGGATACATGAACATCAAGGCTTTTGCTCCAGAAACTTTTGTAACCCTTTCCAGCTTCATGCAAGTCAGACAATTCTTGATCGTAGGTCTTCTGAGAGCTCTTTTCTGCGAGGCATGAACCACTGCAGACAGTGCTTCTTGAAACCAGTAAACCCAAAACAGGTGTGTGTTTTTTGGGCAGGACAGCTGTCCAGCAACACATCCAATATCATCCCACTGATTGGAGTCAAGGTTGGCACTCCTGGCTCCAATTAGCTCTGGGAGAAGTCAGTAAGCAGGGCATTCACATAGACTTTTTCCTCCTGCACTGACCAGAGACTGCAGACATGTTATGTGCAATTAAACCAGAGACTGGCAACATCTAATGTTTGTGTAGTATTATGTTCAGCAGACTGTGGGCATATTGTTGAGACTTAGATGACGTTCAGGCACATTTTATGCCAATTCATGCAAAACTCCACGTAATGACCAAGGGGTGCAGACATACTTTTTCTTGCAACTGTAATATGACTTAGGGATCCGGGTATGACCAGAAATGTGTGGACTGACACAGGGAAGTAGCAGGCTTCAGGAACACAGGCGTAGTCAGGGCTGGAGAGGTGCAATGGTCAGTCAGGCCATTAGGTACTCTCAGGCACCACCCGGCGGGATCTTTACTACCCACAGAACGGGATTCCCCATGGCGCGGAGTCTAAGCCCCAGTCTGCCTTTTCACCAGAGCCCCTGATGGTGGGGATGGACTTGGGCATGTGTCCCAGAAAACACTGGATCATTGGCGCGCAGGACTGACTGAGACCAGGTCCATCTGTGGTAGAGGGGTCCACGGAGGGTATGTACCGTGGGAAAGCCTGACATGAAG